TTTTTACGGCGCTCGCAACTGCATTCATAAGGTCATATGAGCGCCAGTTCTTGGTGTGTTGCTGATCGGACGCATGTGGCCGCTATATCTTCAAAGAGTTAATAATGTCAATTGTTTCAACTTCGTCCAGAGACGTGTGCTTTTTAAAACAGTTTTAGTGAAAGTTATACGGCGCTCGCAGCTGCATAATGTCATATGAGCGCCAGAGGATTAGAGGTGTTACAAGAGAGTAACAAACATAAAAAAAAGAAGGGGGGATAAGGACGATAGTTGTTTGATAGGAAAGAAGAAGCAAACCACACCAGAGCACCCGCCAACCGCTCACAGACGTGTATTTACTAATGATGTATCTAATAGGAGGTCATTAAGTCAAATACATGACATGTCTAGAAATAAAAGTGGACGAAAGTACCATGCGTTATTGGCAGGCACGAAGACGGCTGTGTGTAAAAGGTTGCCTACAAGTAAGTGTCTACGTCTTATGAGAGGCGTCATAAATGTAATGTGGGGTGTTCTGACTTGACCCAAGGAGGTTATTCCAAGGTCCTTGACTTGCCCCCAGCGCGTGCTCTTCGAAGTATCATGTGTTGATGTTTATGATCTTAACATCAGCATTAAACAAAAACTTAACCGTTTTTTCGTCATGTCTCTCTCCCTGAAGCTGCTACATATAAAGGGTTAACTATCCAGCCAGGCAGTCGCGACCCCCTGCGTTTATTTCGGCCCTGCGGATTGTGAACACAGATAAAACCCGCTAGAGCGTTTAATTACCCCCCGACTTTGGCTAAACTTAGCAGCTTTAATGTCTCCGTATGCGAGGATGGTCTACTTTTGTGTCTACGGAATAATGCCAATGTATTTCTACACCTCTCTCTCTCTCTCTCTCTCTCTCTCTCTCTCTCTCTCTTAGGTGTGCATGCTCTCTTACAAATACACGTACAAGAACACATAATCCCCTCCTACAGCCTGCAGCTTCTATAGATAACGTTTTGCTGTCTGGTCCACTTATGATGTCCTAGGTGTTGGGCCAGTGTCACTTTAGCCCCCGAATTGGAAAATAACATACACCTTATTACATCTGAAGTGTATTCCTATGTGAGGCAGCGCGGTGGAATCAGGCTCTCGTCAAAATAATGAAATTGAAGAAAACAGCAGTTTTCTCACTGCTAGCAATTTTTATCAAATTTTTGTTTTTTGACTCAACACCTTTTATGCCCATTTACAAACACATTCCTTTGAGGATTTCACCAAAAACGTTGATTAAAGGCACAAAAATATAAATTTAGTTTCCATGGACTCTCCAGCTTTGGAATTTACCCAGTTTTGGTGGCCATTTTCTCGCTAATTTTACATCTAAAATCAGTTACCCCCACCCCCTTCAATCCAAAATATCTCCACTTCTATTGAAGATGGATGGGTCATTTTTTCATTGAAAGCAAGACTAATGAACAAGCTTTAAAATGATATCAGTAACTCAATATGCCCAAAAATTGACGAGAGCCCGATTCCACCACGCTGTCTCACATATTATGTCTCCGTTGTACTCTCCTTATAAATCCTTAACGATGTGAAAGTAATATTATATTTTAAATGATGAGTATTTAGTGGCAGTAATAATAATATAACCTTTCCGCTGAAGTGCCAAAGTTCTGCGCAGGGGCTATGGGTTAGCGAGGTGCAGCAGCGCGCGCAGATAGAGGCTTGCTTCCACATTTGCGGATACATAAACTACAGAATCCCTCTAAAAAGTGTTGTCCGTGAAACTATCGCTCTACAGTCGAGCAAAGTAAAAGAAATAGGTGCCAATACCCGAACTGTGCCTTGGGGAAGCCGCCCCCCACCCCACCGAGTTTTAAATGAAAAAGAAAGTAGAAGAAACAGACGAAACTCCGGTTTGGACTACCCAGGTAAATATTTGATTGACCTTGGCATTGTCGGTGTAGCGTAAGGGGAGGGGGGGGGGCCGTGACTTAGGTCCTGTTTATACGAAAACCTCAATCGCTAGACACGCAGGAGAGTTCGGGTCACGTGTTGGGCTGCAGTAATCAGCGAGGTCGGGTGGGAAGAGAAGGGACAGGTTGAAAA